AAAACTGAGTATACTACACAGTAGTGTAACTGTGATTATACCATACAGTAGTATAACTGAGTATACTACACAGTAGTGTAACTGTGATTATACCATACCATACAGTAGTGTATCTGTGATTATACCACAGAGTAGTGTAACTGTGATTAACGGTATACCAAATAGTAGTCTAACTGTGAATATACCACACAGTAATGTAGCTTTGATTATACCACTTACTATGTACTATAAACATAATTATTCTCAGGAGCAGACATTCAGGCATTTTCACCGCCTGGCAACCACAACATAGGCCGAAAACTTTCATAAAACAGTCCTTTGGGATAGTTCTTCAGACTCCCCTGAATAGTGTAACAAGATTTACCCCTACATATGCAACATATATTAATCTGGTTGTTCAGGATTAATTCAAAGTTGAGTTTGTGCTGTTTTCTTGACTTTAGCTGTTTTCATCGGCTCTTTGATCGATGTTTCACGGCAGCTCATGCAGACCCCATAGAAATACATGGTACAGTGGTGCGCGTCTTAGCGACGAGGAACGTTCTGTAACGTAGCTCCATCCCCAAGAATACCACTCTGTGTCATATATTATCTTAACTCCACACTAAATGTTTTGTCAATATTCAGATTAAAACGTCGCTACTATGTTTCCATGACAGTTTTAGTTTATGCATATGTAGATTAGTAAAACATCACAGCTTTATTCATATGTATATTTCATTTACTAAGTCACAACTCACAATCATGATATTCCAGTGTGAGACCCACATTTAATTTATGCATTAATCACCATAACAACATGAGTAGGTATACTAATCCTGGATGCATTAGCATAAAGGTGGAATAATAAATTCATTGGAAATTGCTGATAACTTGTGAATAGATTGCTCATGAAAAAACAATGGGATCATAATAATAATCTATAACTTATCAAGGAGTTATTACACGAGACTCTATGGGAAAAAATATAAAACATGGCTTGTTCAATTAGAAAATGTCTTCCTATTTTTATGAAACTTCAGAAAATTAAACAATTTATTTAAAAAATAATAAAAAAGGGGTCACAGATGCATGTACATGAAACTGTTTAACTGTTCAATGAAATTGGTCAATACTGAAATACGGTAGAAATGAAATGTTACAATGAAATCTCCTGCATCATACATCATAACAAACAGATCTTTTACAATAGAATGTCTGGTGTACACACTACTATATTGTGAAGACTACCTTTATTTCACATATCATGCACCAGACATCTCTACCAGTGTTACCAGCCCTACTTTCTACAGTTATTTTTCACAATGTTCCCACTTTCCATTCAAGTAACAACGAAATCGGTAGAAACAAGCAGCCAGTCGGCTGAGATAGCTCCGCTGTTAGCAATGCACATGGCAATTAAAGAACAGAAGATATCATTAGAAAATGAACAATATGTATAGTATCAAAGCAATGGGACTTGATGTTTTCTACAAGAAGTTGAAAATATCACTTTTTACCAAAAATGACAAAAATATTAAGCAAAATTAGAGAATTGAAGATATCATCATGAAATGAACAAATCTGAGAGAGGTCCACATGTAGTACCTATATATGTAATATCAAAACAATTGGACTTGCGGTTTTCAACAAGAAGTCGAAAATATCACTTTTTACCAAAAATGACAAAAATATTCATCAAAATTAGATGAAAGGAACAATCAATCGAAAAAGTGAAAAGATGACACGAACAATGGACGCCGGACAATAACTCATAAGCTACACTTAACAAAGTCGACAGCGGAGCTAAAAATAGTGCGTAATCTAATCTTTCTGTATCTTTTAAAGGCTAAACTGAAAAGTGGCCACTTGAGGGGGCTATACTTTCTGATTCATACTGCATGCTGTACAAATTCTTCACATGGAATACACGATTGGAAAACTATACTAACTACAAGGCAGGTAAGTCTGAATCAGCTACCCCAGGTAGAAATAAGTTTTACCTTTCAAAGGCAAGCAGACCTAACTAAGGCAGTCAACCCACATTTGCCATGAAAATCTATTAGAGGTCTGATCATAATAAAATTAAATAAGAACATAAATATGCAAATCACTTGCCTGGTCCAATCAAAACACACTATGCAAATCACTTGCCTGGCCCAATCAGTACACAATATGCAAATCACTTGCATGGCCCAATCACAATGCAATATGCAAATCACTTGCCTGGCCCAATCAGTACACAATATGCAAATCACTTGCATGGCCCAATCACAATGCAATATGCAAATCACTTGCGTGGTTCAATCAGAACACAATATGCAAATCACTTGCCTGTTCTAATCAGAACATACTATGCAAATCCCTTGCCTGGCCCAATCAGTACACAATATGCAAATCACTTGCATGGCCCAATCACAATGCAATATGCAAATCACTTGCATGGTTCAATCAGAACACAATATGCAAATCACTTGCCTGGTCCAATCAGAACAGACTAAGCAAATCACTTGCCTGGTCCAATCAGTACACAATATGCAAATCACTTGCATAGCCCAATCACAAAGCAATATACAAATCACTTGCCTGATCCAATCAGAGCACAAAATAGAATCACTTGCCTTGTCTCCAAGTTTTTTCAATGCTGTTAGAATTTCTACTTTTTGTTGCGTACAAACATCCTGCGTAATTTTTCCAACTTTTGTATCTCTTTCAATCTGTGCAGAAACAAAATCATCATAAATTACAAATAAAAACATTATTGAAAATCTTCTCTCTAAGAACATCATTTTAATAGGAATAAGACAAATGAAGAAATGAGCAAGACAGAAGAGACAAAATATTTGAATTGACAAATCAACATAATAATTTAACAACTATGTTCTTATTAATCACAAGATTAAGGCAGTAACAGGTTTATTTTGGTTACAGAGCTTACAAAATGGCGGGCATCTCAAGACGCAGACGACACTCAGGGTCAAGGGTCATCTCACAAGTACAATAAATGTGAATATACTACAATGACCAAGTACATTCCTGGAGAAGATGATCACATGATTACATAATAGTCCAAAAACACCAAGAAACCCCAAAAAGCATCATTTTCGTTTTAAATACATAAATTCAAAATGTTAATACTGTACCTCTGACAATCTTTGTCTCAGCTGTCCTGGTTGTTTCTTTGCAAATAATCTGATAACTTCTGGAGTTTTGAAAGCTTGGCTAATAGCTGCCTGGATTGCCTGAATGAGATTAAGATGCTACATTCAGGGGTGGACAGGTAATTACACATGTGGCATGCTGTGTTCATTACTAGGAGATTATGTTTACATTACCCTGAACCACCCACTATGACGATGGTCATCTTGAAAGGTCTAAAGCATGCACTTTAACACATTGCCCGCTAACATTATTATTCATTTTAACTAACTGTGAAGGCTTTAATATAATGTAATAATGTTTTTTTTGAACTAAATTGGAATTTGAAATGAATTTGGCGACAATAAAAGTAGAAAATCATAGACTAGTGTCTTGTTGTTCTGAAGGTAGTTTGCTACTTTTAAAACTTAGTGCCAGATTTCTGTGACTTTTACTATTTACTATATTGTTGATCATATAATTGAAGTGACAAGTTATGGTTAGTGAAGTACATGAAAATGGTGATAATTGACCTACCGGTATTTATCATTGGTTCCTGTGTTTAAGTTCTATCACAAAAATTTGTTTGGGGATATATTGTGTTAAAATCATATGTAGCTAGAAGATTGGTATTTATGGTTGTCTTGAAATATTGGAAAATTCTGATGAATACAATTAATTTTAGATGCATTTTTGCATGTTTTCCAACAGTGTTTCTCCCTCCAAAAGTATTTTGTACTTGGTAAAAAATGAGCCAAAGTTGATGACTTGTGTTTAAATCAACAACTATTAAACTTATTACTTAAATGAAATAATATGATTATGTGATATTTGTTACTGTAATAGTAATTTTTCTCCATGAATCCATGCATGTTGGAGGTCATATGTTATCGACCAATCAGTTTCGTTGTTACAAATATTAAAATTTCAATTATGACGAGCTCTTTGAGAGCAAATTGTAATGACAAACAATCACAGTTTCATTTATTCCAAGGTGTTTCAAGCTTATACATTCACCATCCTCGAGAATGTACTTACTAATTGCATAGAATTGAGTTCATCAACTAACGTCATATTCCCACATGTCATTTTATCAAGAGTATCTCTAAGTTCTTTTAACTGATCCAAAGTCTCGGTTTTCGTCTCTTCATATTCATCATCATCTAAGTCTTCTCTATAAAAACAATGAAAACCAATTCATATCAATAAAACAGTGACATTTAAATGATTATTCAAATCATCTTGAACATTCCAATCCCACCTGTGTGAAGAAGAAAAGAGTAATATGTTGATGATAATTGAGCTGATTGGTTTCGTTTAATGAGAGAGATTTTCGTGAATTACAGAAAATTGCAAAATTTTGTTTTAGAATATTTCACTGGGATTCTGGAGACATATTTCTCTCATATACTGTAAACAGCTTTCAGATTTTTGAAAGTGGTTTTAGTGAATATCGTTTACAAAATCCTGAAAAAATGTGCTAATACTCAACTTCCAGCTGTGATACTAGATCAGGGTGATATTTTCCTTGATCTACATCAGGTACGAGGTAAAGTCGCAATGCATTATGGTACAATGGTCAAAGTCAGTTTAACTCACCTGCATTCTTCAAGGTCAGAGAGTTGGGCTACTAATCTGTCCAACTGTTCTTCTAAATTTTGTCTTAATTTAGTAGTTTCTGATTGTCCCCTGGAAGCCATTGTGTAACGTTTGCTTCTGACACTACATCAGACTGTTATAGTAATAAACACATTGTAAAATCAGTGTCGATGACATAATAGTAGTCCAAGTTATCTTTTGACTGTTTTGACATTTTAGGGAACTACTTTAAATTATTCACTGGGTTTTAATTTCACTATTTCCAAAATCTGCTAAATTCATTTAAACATGCACAATTACAATAGAATTATTAAAAAAGTGAAATAATATTTCAAATTAAATAAAATTATAAAGATTTCACTGTCACAATATAAAAGTGAGATGGGCATGTCTAAAATATAATGATGAAGGCTGATATTCAAAATGAATTTTTTGGATAAACTGAAACCTAAATTAGGGCACTACAGAGAGAGATTTATTAGAACACTCAGCCTTTTAGAGAGTTCCAAAATTGGTCAATTTCTTGGCGGCCGATACTCGAATCAGACATACACATTTTCACCATCTGACAACCACAACCGATGACAACAGCCGAAAACTTCACAAAATAACTGTACTTTGGGCTAGTTGTTGGCACTCTCCTGAACATTGTAGCAAGATTATATCGACATCTTTTTCATTTTCTTTGCTGAATTTCTTTTGCTTTTTTATTAGCATTTGTTATCCTCTTCAGGTAAATTTTAGGAGTTAATAAATTCCATAGTCATTGACTGCCACTATACGGTACACAAGACAAGATCGAGTCAGTGCCCATCCCACCCTCCGTCAGGTCAGGCGTTCATTTCCATTTTTATTAAATAGATTTATTATTCACATAAACGCACAACTGGAATACATATCACAACCTATCATCAGCATACCTTTGAATGTCGGCCAAAAAAGAAAATTGACCGAATACACGGGAAATGCACTCACCTTTCGCATAAAACTTGTTTTTGAAAAGTGACCGGAAACGGAAACGGTACTTTTGAAGCGCGACCTCTAAAGGCAAAAACTAAAAATATTCAATATGGCGACGTGCAGTGAAATTTTGACACGCTCATTTCCGAAGATCGATACGGAACTATTTCAGTATGTGACAGGTAAGGAACTTATTGGGAGTTTTATATTAACGAAAATCTTACTTGTGGACAAGAATTTGTATTCGAAATCGAATCTCTTGCTTTACATCAGCGAAAAGCCGGGTGATAGCTGGACCGCGGACATGTTGCACAATTCATTGAAATTTAGCTTACGTATCAACGTTTGCCAAGAGAATGTGCCCATATTACATGTCCCGTATATTTTTTCCACAGCAGAACGTCCCCGTTCAGAATAATTCACACAAAACAAGATTCATTTATATGTGGGACCAATTTTAGGTTATATTTAATAATTTATTGACACAACACCGATATAGTACAATACGGCAGTATGGCCACTAAATACAACTATTAACTACATTTAAAATTGAATTAACATATTTGGCGAAAGGTATCATAAGATGAGTATCCAAAGTCATCCTTTTTGATAGTTATGTGATTCTCTTGAAAAATAGTTATTGTAGATGTAAAATTTCTAAACTGATCGCCTAAATAAAGCTGGTCGCTGTTCCAAAGCTGGGTAAAATTATAAACTTTTTTATGGTCTGTTTAGACCATAGAAAAAGTTTATATATACACATGTACAGTGTATTCCCTGTGATCTTTACTGCAGAAACTACTAAACTGATTTTTCAGCTGTTGAATCACTCCCTCATTGAACTTATGTCACTAAACAGTAACCACTGATCCAACATGACCTACAAACCCAACCAATCTATGTTTATACTTAATATTAATAAGCCAAACTGGTTTTATTCAAAATCTTGTTTAAATCAAAATGATACTACAGTATCGGGTAGGCAGGAACCTCCCTTCATATCTTGAAGTGCTGGTCTATTAATTAGAAAGCCAAAAATTATTTGTGATTGGTTGACACCCTTGTCACATCACCATGATCTATCGAATTAATCAGTCGCTAAATCTTTAACAGCACTGTAAATGTTCATACATTATGTAACTCTTACTGTGGATTGAGTTAATAAATATTTAGGTTTATAAATATTAAATTTAAAATTTATCTGAAAGATCACCCTCTGCAAAAGATCGTCCATGGGTGATGTTTACTACAATAAAAAATAAATACTGGGAAAAATAGTGTGGTAGTAAAAAAAATTTTGTTTTCAAGTGTATCACTAGGAAAGTAGCGTACAAATCAGCATCTGTATTTTTAGTTCCAATTTCACACACGCAACGACAGTGTCGTTCGGATGGTTACGTCAAGTTGTTTTCAACCAACATTTATAATTATCTTGTATACACAACATTCATACCTTTATGAGATTCACTGTATCATCTCACTTCATTTTGTAAACATTGAAATGGAATGTAGCGGTAAATGAGATTTCTAAATTGATATTCAAAAGGTATATTGAATGGCGGTACTGAAGACTTCAACTCGTCTGATGACGTCTATGATGCGATTGGTGACGTCTTGAAAGAAGTCGATGAAGGCAAATCAGACAATGAGATTAGAAATATATGTAAACGACTATTGAATTGCATGACACTGTGAGTAATCTAGTAATTTCAGTTATTTGTCGTTTTTGAAGTCGTTAATCAAATTCTCAAATAATTAAAGGTTATAAAGGTAAGGTAGTGGATATAAAACTTTTCTGAGGAAAATTAGCATATTAGATAGGAGGTTATTATCTGCTCCAAATATGCTAATTTTATTGAAGTGAAGGCAGAGTCTTACCTTTTATATAGTATACACCAGGTGGTTACTATAGACGATATTAGGCAATCAAAGCTGAATCCTGGGAGAGATGGCAGCAACAGCTTACTCGATATTCTAAGGTTCAGGTCAGACTGCCGAAGTTCCCGGATGTTCGGAAGTGGAAACTTCGGTAACCGTCAGGAGTCTTTGGTGATACATCAATCACATCGGCAATTTATACTACATTATCTATCTAAGAAGTCTTATATGTGCTACCAATACCTGAGCATATACTTTATGGCCACATTAATGCATATGCTTGCACATGAAATACACTACAAAATATCACAAATACATTTGTGATTCTTAGCACTTGCGTTAGTTTACAAAACATGTTACAGGCCTCAACAGGTGGCAGGGACGGATGCGTCAGTGTTACCACATGTTTAATTGGAATGTTATGCACTAAAAAATGCGTGTGTTTTTTGCAAAATGCACAATAATATTAACATTTTTGTATTATATGGCGAAAATACCCTAATTTTTGGTAGCCAAATATAAAATGGCAACTGCTGAGGGGTTAGCCAAAGCTGGGGATTTACAACTTGGCACAAAGACAAAACACTATGTACTTGATTTTGTTCAGATGGCTGATTGATGGCCATTTTGTTTCTTCAATAGCAGGGCATATAAATCAAAAATTGCATTTGTTTTATACAAAAACATTAAAATATTACTCGTTTTGACCATAAAATCACCTCTGTAATTTATCTATGAATAGAGCAAATACAGTACAAAATTTTGTTTTGTTTTAAAGGGGTCCCCTTCCAAACCCAGAGATTGCACCAAAGAATCATGGGACACATGCTTATGTTGTTTACAATGTTAATCTATCTTTTGTTATCCATTGTAATTTTAATCCAGAAGGTAAAAGTTATATATGATGTTGCATTTTGTCTTTGACAGTGCAGATGATTTTAGTGATAATGTCAATGGAGTGCTTCTGTTAGACACACCTGTTCACCTTGGTGAAATAGCTCAGAAACAAGGTATAGTGAACTGGTTACCTTCCTCTTATTTCATCCCTTTCCATCCTGAAATTAAATCTTTTGAATGCCAACACCAACTTTTGTCACCATTCACAAAAGTCAAGACGAACGATATAATGCTCCCAGATGAAAGAACTTCACAAATGTAGATGGATACAATTTACAGATTATTTATTTCACTATGTCTAGATAATCATATGTTCATCAGTATTATGTAGTCCGCCATCTTGATTTTCCAGCAAAGGTTTGTGGGTAAAGTGTGACATCATATTCTCTGCTGTGAAAAATTGAGAAAATGCTTTCATCTATAACCTGAGCAGTACTTATATTTGCCGAGCTCTTTCATCTGGAGATATAATATCATTAGCCTTGTCTTTTCCTTTAAATATAGCATAATTTTTTTCATATCTTTTTCAAAATTTTTCCAACCAATAGAAAATTATTTGATCCAAAATTATAAAGAAATTCAGAGAAAAATACACAAGAATATATTTTTCAAAATTTTTCCAACTAATAGCAAATTATTTGATCCATAATTATAAAGAAATTCAGAAAAAAATACTAAAAAAACTGTTGCACAAAACAATGCTGGGAAAAATTATGGCACTCAAGTTCTAAGACTTTATACGTCATTCTACATTAATTCCGTCATGTGACTCTACATATTATGCATATTTTTGTTTGCAGAGGAAACAGTACATGGTCATGGAATCTGGATGGTACAAAAGGACTCCTATTCAGTAAGTAGGTTTTATTACAATTTGAAGATGACAGTATGCCCGGTGTGTGTAAGCAGTAGTTTTGTTGCATCTACTGTTTCCCTGACCTATACAATATATGTATGTAAGCATGGTGTTAGGAACAGACGAGGCGATGATCAGAGTGAATAGAACGTTATTTGAGTTGCAGAAACACTCACTCCCAAGTTCTATTGTGGTTTTCAGAAAAATTAATTCCGGCTAAAATATATACAAAAAGTAAAGCATTTCTAAAAAGCTGTATTCAGTGGCATTCACATTTTGTATCTTTCTGTACTTGAAATTTCTTTATTTGCAAATAACATTGTTGTTTATTGTAAACATGTTTGAAAACATATCAATCTTTTCTCTCAAAATTGATCTCTAGGTCGTTGATAAAAAGAGGCTGGAAAAAGCGGAGGCTAAAATCAAAGCAAAACAAGAAAGAAGATCACAGAAAGAAGATACTGTGAAACCTGGGTATTTTGAGCAAAACCATAACTTCATTGAAAAACATTACTACTACTAATCTCTTCACCCGACATTTTTGTTTTGTTTTTGTAGTTTTGATTGTCCTTGCAATTTATTTTTCAGCTATTCAGTGGGAGCAGAAGCGTCAGCAAGCCAAGTTATTGATAGGAAAGAAGCAAAACTTGATTCTGCTGGTGGTAAAACAAGAGATATTCGAATTGAAGATTTTGATATTGCCTTTGGTGATAAGTAAGTACAATGTTTATCTGTTTGTTCACTAAACAAATTGTTTATTATTTCCCGGGCATGTCTGGGTCATTCTTATTCACACTTTGTATTAGTATCACACGTGGTTGGTTACTAATGCCTGTTTTGTGATTTGATTTAAAATGGCTGACTAGTGGCCATTTCACCAATATCGATATTCTCTGCATGTCTACTCTACATATGAATTAATCAATTTACATAAATAGGGGTCCAAGCTCATAACATCGTCCTTCACCAAACTTACTATCGGTGGCTTCTAAACAACCTTGTCTTCCTGAGACCAGGGGCAGATTTTTGAATGGCAGTGACTGACCAATCAGATTGCTCTTCTTCTTGAAGCAGGAAAGCAATCAATGAGATTCTTACTATTAGAAAAAGTCCAGATTATTGATGTCGCAATCAAAAAATTCCTTTTCTTATCGCAAATAAGACACAAACCAGACTTGCACTCTCTGAGAAGTTTGTTTAACCATTACTTATGATGACTGTCTATGAGCAAGAGTTAATTTTTTTCTGATCCATGGCTAACGAGAATGAGGTTATAGAGGCTTGCAATCACTAGCTCAGCTACGATGCTCATCACATTGTTTACGTATGGAAAAAGACTGAGGTCATCTAGAAATAGACCAACGTGTACGTGCATGCAAACTTTGTAATATGAATTCTATTAAAAATGAGTTCCATTTTTTTAATTTGTAATTTTTATAATCACATTAGATGTCTCTATATCCCACACTACTACTGCATCCCACCAACTGTAAATAACTTTCTTGAATTACTCAAAACTCAAAATGATGTACTTCTACAGCGATTAGCTGCGTTTGTATTCAATGAAACTTAGAAGGGAAGCTGCTAAAATATTATAAATAATTTAAATGTTTTGTATTTACTGTTTTGGGCAGATGGCCGTGTATCAGTTAATAAAGATCCTAATTTTAAAAAATAGGTCATTAACTGATTTTATTTTGTTATTATTCAGGGTATTAATGAAAGGTGCTAATCTTAATTTGATATATGGCCGGCGATATGGTCTCGTTGGAAGGAACGGACTTGGGAAAAGTACGCTATTAAAACTCATCGCTTGGTAAGTGTATACAAACACCTTTACTTAAGTCGAAATGACATGTGTTAATATGTTGAGATATAAGCATAAATAATTACAGGAAATCTTGTCAGTAGTCCATGGTAGAAGCGTTTAGAAGTCAATGCTGCACTATTGTCAACTCTCTGAACACTATAATTTTCCCGCCAAAATTGAAGTGCAACATTTGAATGGAATTCTTTTTATAATTTCTTTGTAAATTTTTGACAAGATAAACATAATTTTCTATTTACTGGAGGTCTTGATCAGCATTTTGGAAAAAAATATATAAAAAAACTTATGCACTGGTAGGTTTCATTTTATGAATAATGACGAAAGCTATCTTTGGCACTCAAAAGGTTAGGTCATGTATGTAGGTAACTGACCCCTACATATGTTATTACTGCCATCGCCATATTGTTCCCCAAAGCAAAAGAGCAACATTGTCAGCTGCTGACTAGTAAGTTGCTGACTAGTTTGTTAAGCGTGCCTGGAGATTGTTACAATCAATTGGGTCAAACCAACCTCAACAGGATACTTCAAACTAATAGTGGGGCAAATAGAAGATCACGATATGATCGCCCAACGATTTATTTTATTCACTTGCATAAATTTGTAAATAATAAATGGCAAAGTTATCCAAACAAAATGTACGTACTGACACAGAATGAAATGTGAGGATACAGTCGCTGGTTTTCCTGGCGCATGTCATAAAATGAATGAGCACATTTAGCTGAGCGACACACCCTCGTAAGAGTGGTTTGATCTAAGCAAGATCAAGAGTGTGAGACTTCATAACTACATAAATCATAGAACGCTGTACAACATGCAAGATCAAATATACATTCAAATTTTGTGTAAACACACAATAGTTTTCACACAAGGTGCAATTGGTCACATGGTTGATTTCACAAATGTAATATTGTCTTGTTGTTGTTTACAGTGGCGATTTGAAGATCCCGTCCCATGTAGACATACTCCACGTGGAGCAAGAAGTGGTGGGTGACGATACGCTAGCGTTAGATAGTGTATTAGAATGTGATGAAGTCAGAGCCAGTCTACTGAAAGAAGAAAAGGAACTCAATGACAAAATTCAGGCAACCAGGTAATTATCTATCTTGTTATGAGATCCAGGGTTTGTCTGTCCTGGATTATATCAGTACCAATACTAACTCTTGGAATAGGAAAGATGCCTTTGAGTATTGGAAAGTACTGTCTCCACTGTTTCAATTGTTTTGCATTCCCCTGATAAGTGTACAGCACCGTTTGAGAAGACATTGCCATGCACAATTTCGAGATCTTGCAGTTTGCATTGTCTGTTGAACTGTTGTGTGTTGTCTTATCACTGGCACTCACTTGAGGAATGAACCTGTCCTGTACATGGCTAGATCTGACTGTGTTGTTTAAATGTCAGGATCTCTGACATGCAATTTCTACAATATTAACTACTGTATGTGTGAAGGTATCACTATATAAAGAATACTTTGCAAAAATGTTGTTTCATTAGATTCTATGTATTTTGTAGCCACATTATCTGTATCTTTGATTGGATAGTCAATGCAAATAGCACAATGGATAACTCTCAATGTCTTTAATTTCAGTCCCGGATCTACAGAAAGCTGTTTAAGTACCCGACTCTCACAAATATACACAAAATTAGAAGATATTGACGCTGATAAAGCACCATCAAGGTTTGATATATTTCTCCCAAGTATCCAAGTATAGTATATTGTATTATTATTATTAAACATAAATGCAATTCATAGACAAAAACAAACAGTATGTTGTGTGTTACTATTAAAAAGAACAATACTATAGTAGAAATGTAACACCCCAGCCCTTTTTTTTTATTAGCTCCGCTGTCGACTTTGTCAAGTGGAGCTTATCATATGAGTGATCGTCTATCGTCGTCCATCAACTTTTTATTTTTTCGACTTCTTCTTGAAAACTACAAGCCTGAATGCTTTGAAACTGTACATATTGTTCATTTTCTAATGATATCTTCAGTTTTTTAGTCCCCGTTCGGACGCAGTCCGAAAACGGGGACTTATGTTTTGCCCTGTGTGCGTCCGTGCGTCCGTGCGTCCGTGCGTCCGTGCGTCCGTGATCACCTGTATCTCGAACATGCATGGACCGATTAAGTTCAAACTTCACTCATACATCACACATTATATGGGACATATGCACATGCATTTTTTTCATGATCCGATTAACGATAGCCGAATAGCGGCCATTTTAAGGCCGAAAATGCATCAAAATCGCACATTTTCACCATTCCGGACCCGGATCTCAGTTATGCATGGACGG